GGCAGCAGTGGTTCAGTAGTAAAACAGTGCAGCTGTAGGGAGAGTACCTGTGAGCGCAGGTCAGGCAGGACTGTCACTGTGACTGGGTTGTCCCTTCGAACACCTGTTTTAGTGGAAATTATTGCTGTGTTGGCTGTGTCTACTACTGCTTTCTAACAGCATGTTGGCTGGATGTGCAGCCCACAGTGTTTGCCTTCTGTACCTGCTGTTGGCTTTGCCAGCATAGATGGTTCCAAAGGAATGCAAACAATGAGAAGGAGGAAAGTGTTTGCAAGGGGGTGAAATTGGTCCCAAAGGAATGCAAATGATGGGAAGAAGGAAGGTGTTTGCAGGGGTGCTGATCCTTGAGAGTTGGGCTGATCCTTGAGAGATTTCTGTGTTGTCCTTTAAGCATATGGAAGCAACTGTTTGTGGTAACTTCCTCAAAACAACAAAAAGAGCTCACACTTGCTCTCTGAGACCTAGGAGCAACTGTTTCCTGAAAAGCCAAACAAGGCTGGTAGGGACTGTTTAGGCCAGTCTTTCTGAAAGGATTATCTGCATCTCGGTAGTAAGGCAGAGATGGCATGGCTTTTTCACCCAAGCATGGGCTTTCCCCACGTGCTTTGTGGGACCATGCCTGATGAAAGCAAGGTCTGCTCTCAGATATGCCCTTGGACTTTCAGGTGGGATTGGGCTGCAGTGAAGCCCTTCTCTCTGGGAAGGCCTGACTGCCATGAATACCTGTTGGTACCTCAAGTCCTGCAATTCAGGGCTCTACTGGTTTGGTCCTACCTATCTGGCAGTGTTGGGATTTGATGTGGAAGGAACAGGGTAAGTAATCTGCTTAGACATTAAAATTTCTTCACACATTTGTGCAACTCGAAGTAGCCAAATTTAGATTTAAGGCTGTAAAATGGGTAAATATCAGGTTTTGCAAGACACATGTTAGCTGCACAGGTTTTGGTGCCTAAGGGTGTGTATTCATCTTCCAAACTTGAATAAAAGTTGACCTTACAGGAATGGAGATGGAGTGGTTACAGATGGCACAGTGGCAATGCAAGGTGAGCTGCAGAACGGTGTGTGTGGATCGATCCAATAACTTTTGCAAGTCATGTAGAGAACCTTGACTGAAAGTGCCAAATACTATTAATAGAAGCCTCAAGATGAAGTAACAAATGCAGATAGCCAGCCTCCTCTCCTGCCTCTAATTTAGGTACACAAAATGACAGGTTTAATCTTGCAGTTGTTTCCAGGCTTGGATGAGGATGGTGAGGTGGCCCATTAATTGCCTGTGACGGCCTGAGCAAGCAGTGACATATCTCATGATTGTAGGATGCAAATTGGGCCAACATGGCAGCTGTTGGTAATGCACCCAGTATCTCAGATCTCCCCGTGGTTAGCTCAGATCAGACTTGGAAATATGTGTCAGGGCACTTATTTCTGATTGGGATGTTCTGAAGTACCACTTGGGAGACCTGTATAAATGGCAGTGGTTACAGCTGTGTAGGACTTGGAGACTGCCCTTACCACAGGAGGAACTGGGTTCTTACCTTGTTGTAAGTGGTAACTTCAGAAGTGGGATAATGGCAGACCTGTATCAACAGATTTTCCCTTTACTGACAAATCTTAATTCCAGATTAGGAAGCTAAAATTGATGTACTTCTGCCCTAATTAATTGTATTAAAAATTTCTTCATTTTAGCTGGCAAGTTGAGAGGAATCCAGTTCATACTGTGTTGTTAGCTATTGTTTTTTCACTCTGAAATGTTTTTCATTCTGCCAAGTTTTGTGACAGGTGACTGACTATTTCTTGCCCTTACGTGACCTAGTCTGGAGGTTGGTCATGAGGATAAAGCAGTGGTATATTGTGGGTAGGATGGTGGGAGTGTCATAAGTGTCATAAGACCACATTTTAAATTTATATGCACTCCTTTTTGATGCAAGTTATTTTAATACTCAAGGATTATCATGTAAAGGTGTTGTAAGAGCATCCATTGGATAGGCTTGTAGGGTTGCTTTTTGGATTCTTTAAATTAGGTATTTTTTAAAGCTAAGACTTGGAGCAAAAGAGGGAAAGCCTTTTCCAGAAAGTTAGTTATGGGTCTCTGTATACAGGTATCTGTTTATGTGGCACTAGGTCTGTCAATACCAGAGGTGTGGCCTTGATAGTTGTCTTTTTCTAAAGGAACAGGTGATCTGTTGGAGGCCAGAAGATACTCACTGGCTGCAGAGTAACTGGACAAGAAAACTGAGCTGCTTTTATGTCAAGCTATATGCTGACCATAGGAGAAAGGCAGACTTTCCACCTCCTAGCATAGCCACAAATTGTCTATTGGCAAAGCAGCAGGGGACCTCCACAGACTCCAGAGTGAGAGAGGAAGGTGGAGCAAGTGTGACATTTTGCTGTTGGTGAGATTAGAGTGTCCAGACAAACCAGGTGGTGCTCCTGTTTGGTTTCTCTTCCTCTTAAAGACTCAGAGGAGCCAGATGTTTCCAGACCACCAAGTGCAGAGTGGGCTTTGGAGGTGTACCTGGATTGCCAGTGAAAGGGATAGTTTTTCTTTTACCTGGCTTTGAGTTTCCTGTGGCTTTCCCCAGGCTGGCAAACAGAAAAACAAACAGAAAACAAGAAGTAGAACATGGTTTTCTGCTGCTTTGGCCTGCTGGGCTGGCAGTTGCCATGCCAGGGCTGTCTGGCATGAGGGAATGGAGGAGGATGTAATTAGACTGAGTAGGATAAGGGAGGAAGGAACTGTCCCCTCCAAAACAAACTGCTGTTAAGGTCAGCTCAGCTCAGCTGGGGTGTAAGACTGCACACTGAGAGGCTTGATAAATGTCCTTGCAAAGCAAAAACATACCTGTTGGTGAAAGCAGGTTGCTGAATTGCTGCTGAATATCTGCATAGCCAAGGTCAAGCAGTGTCTTCTTGGATAGTTACAATTACAGTCAGCCTGAGCTAAAGCCTGTGCTAAGCAGTGTAATCACAGCATTGCTAAATTGATGTTTGCTGACAGCATCAAGTAATTGGTGCCTTATCTAGATGGGACTACTTGAATGGCACATGTCTCTTCCACTTCCTTCTTCCCTGTCAGAGATGCGGTTTCTGTAGGAATTTAAACTTCTCCTAGTTTGGGAACTGCTGATATGAGGAAGAATCTCAGCAGTAGAAGCATTGAGTTCTCTCTCTGCATTTTTGAAGCTGCTTTAAAAATAAATGTATTTTAAAGTATTGTTAACAAGTCTGGAAGAGTAAATATCCTCCTAACCTTCCTCTCTTCTCTCCCCAACCTTTGCATTTTTGTTCCAATATTAAGTTGAAACAAAACTATTTCCTTTCTTTACCGGTGGCTTTGTAAATGCATTTTTAATTGTATCTTCTTACTTCACAAAAATCCAGTGGAGTTTTGTAAGAGCCATGTTTTCAGGAATACTCATTTTGAAAGGCAAGGGGACAATTTGGTGTTTTATCATAATGTTTTAAAATCTCTGGGGTATATTATTACTAAGAGGGAAAAAAAGACCAAGTTGTTGCAGAGATTAGGATATGAATCTTCTACTTTCCATGTCACTGGTTTGAAGGCAGGCCAAATTTAAGTAGCTGAAAGCATGGATGGCTCATGTTAAAGTGGTTGAAACAGGGTGGTTCTCCGTGTGGGGTTACTTCTGTCACCTTATCTCATAACCTGAGCCATGAGCTCAGTGGGACCTTGTTTCTTCACCCTGCAGCTGAACTCCTCAGATCTGGTAAGGCATGTGGTCAGGGTGGCGTGGGAAACCTGCTCCACCCCACCTTTTGTGTGCCATGTTGGTATAAATATAAGATGTTAGTCTTCAGGGCAGCTATTAAAGATAGTAGTAATTATTACAATAGTAACTTCTTATGCTGCGTCCATGCCCTTAGGACCTTAACCAAATATACCTTAGATTACGATAATTAAAAAGAGAAGACTGTGACCCAGTAAAATACTTGAGTTTGGCACAAATAACAATGCTGAAGAGGAATGTATGCAACAAATATATTAGAAATAAAATCAAGCTGTGCAAATATAAAGGAAAGAGAATAATTTTGTGTCGGTCAAAACAGCCCCAGGGCTGAGAACTGGTTTGTGCTCAGAGGTTGAGTCCTTTAATGCCACAGATTTTGTGCAGTGTAATCCCACTGCAACCTTTTGCTATGGGTTAATTGCTGAATTCTAATGCTTTCCGTGCCAGAGAGTGCTCACCAAAATATTAGGTCATGTCCATCTGTCACCCTCTTCCCATTTTGTTTTTTTGCTTTTATCAACTTCTTGTCACAGAGGTCTTTGTGTCTCCCGTGTAGCTCTTCCAAATTGCATTTGTTTTCTTTTCCTAAAAATATTTGAGATCTTTGCCTGAGGGGGCTACAGGGCATTTTAGGTTGCTGTCTCTTGCATGGGTCATTGGTATGCGGGCTTGTGAATGTTTAAGGTGATCTGTCTCAAGATTCCTGGGAAGGGATGTCCTAGTCCACTGGTTGTGGCTTCCAATTCAAGCACTGTGGGAAAAACTGACTGTTCCGTTCCTAGGAATACGAGGCTGGGACGAGGCTGGGACTAGGCTGAACCACCTACCACTGGATGGAGGAGACAAAGAGAATGGATCAACCTGGAAACTGTTCATGAAAGACCGAAGTTCTAGAGATAGTGGTATCTCTAGAAATATCCAGAGACAGTGGTTTGTTGCTCTTACTAGGAGGATGGGAATTTGCGGTCAGTGAATGTGCATCCCAGCTTCTCACCAGTCCTATCTGCTGCTTGCAGTCCTCTGTCTTTGCCACGCTCTGGCAAAGAGAAAGCAATAAGTGGATTGGTAACTCCTTCTCTGTACGCCAGCGGTATTTTGCTATGCCTGTTAAGTGGGATTGCTTCTGTACCTAGATGCTTCTCAGTGAATTTCTAGGAGCCAGTGTGAACTAGACCATCAGCATTTGTGCATGGCTCTATTTGAACTGCACTCACATTTCATGATACTTCTTGTTTTGTTTCTTGCATGCACTAGGTGACTTTGGAGAAAGTGTTGGGCATAACTGTGTCGGGAGGAAGAGGATTAGCCTGCGACCCCAGAACTGGCCTCGTTGCTTATCCGGCAGGGTGAGTCACTAACCACATTCTTCAAAGCTAAAATAAACCAGGACTGATGCATTAACATAAAGATTCAGGGTGTTTCTGCTATGGTCTTATATAAGACAGCTATTTGCTGTTCTTGAAACACCAGACAATGATGCGAGTCAGCACTGTTAGCGTAATTGGCAAGGGAGAGGGATTGCATTGTCAAGTTTTAATGGGATCCCTTTTAATGGAACCACTCTCCTTCTTCTTGCTCTAAGATGGAAGTTAAATACATTTTGTGGGCTTTTAACTATGTTCTGTAGCGTTGTGAACTTACACATAACTCAGTGTGATTCTCAAGCCAGTAAATAACTATTGGAGCAAGTGATGCTTTCAATGAATTGACAAAAGCCTTCTTGTATGTGCCCTGCAATTTATGACTTACCAAGTTCCTCATTCAAATGTGAGGAAAGATTTCAGGCTTACAGCCTGAACCCACTTGAATCTGTGTGGATTCTCTGGAGTGCAACACATCTATCAACTGTAGCCTAGGTCCAAATAGAGATATCCAGAAGGAGACTTTGATGGAGAGCAAAAGAGCTATTTCTAGAGAGATAGGTGAGGGCTGGAGGGGTCTACTGGGTTACAGGAATCAATATGAGTTTGGCTTTCTTTGAGCTTGTTCATTCTGCTGGCCAAGAAGCTAAAGGAGAAGTCTAAGGGCAGTCTCAAAGTACTGTTTCATGGACATATTTTTAAGACATGAAAGCTGGAATCAGAAAAAAGAAACTTCCACAGCAATCGTAGGTGATGTTTTCAAGGGTACAAGAAACATGCTAGCAACATTTAAAGATTCTGTGTTTCTGGCTAGAATGAGAGATGGAGTCAGTGACACTGGCTAGAAATTTTTGCCTGTCCTGGTGATATCCTATTTCCCAGAATCACAGCATTGTTGTGGTTGAGGGAACCTCTTGAAGTCATCTGTTCCAACCCTCATGCTCAAGCAGGGTCACCTATAGCAGGTTGCCCAGGACCATGGCCAGACAGCTTTTCCGTATCTCCAAAGATGGAGATGCCACAATCTCTCTGGACAGCACATTCCAGTGTTTGCTCTCATAGTAATACAGACAGAAGAAAAAAAAGTACACCATGTGTTTACTTTCTGCCCATTGCCTCTTTTTCTGTCAGTGGGCAGTTTGATATCCACATCAGTGTTTGACAACATCTTTTATGCTTGAACTCTTTGGAGCCAGGCAAATATATTCTAGTGTGTGTTGCCTCTTCCTCTGCATCTTTTCTGACATTGAATATGTTCACACTTGGAGAGGGCAAGGAGAGAGAAGAAAACAAGTGCAGTACACAGATATTTGGGGCTTTTGCATAGCTGAAGATAGATTAGTTTTGTTGATAGCAATGTCCTCTGATGAGCTTGTGCGTGCCTGACATTGATTTAATTAAATGTGAATACACCTGGGGATGCTTTTGGTTAATTAAAAGGTTATATGGTTCCTTAGGGCTTTACAGGGAAATTCCTGTTCTTACTTGTTGGTGGTAACATCTCATGGCCTGGGCAGGAAACCTGCCCTGTCTGGGCAGGAATATAGTAGATGTATGTTGTAAAAGATTAATGGTTTATATGAGTTGCTGCTTTTGTTCTATGTCTGGCCTGTTTTGTGATGCTGTTGTGATTTGCTGTAGTCAAGGCTATCTCTAACAAAACTAGCATTAGTTAACGAGTCAAGACATGAGAGAGGTACTGGTGCAGACCTTACTAAGTTGATGCAAGTTCAGTTTTTTGTTTTCAGTTTCAGTTTGTGCAGTTTATGTTTTACTTGGATTTTTTCCCCATTCTGATTTCCAGTTAATTTCTCTTGATTTGCAAGAATCCTGGCCTTTCTGGTTTTATTTTGTTTATATTTGTTTATTTTGTTTCTATTTGAATTTCACAGAATCACAGAATGGGTAGGACTGAAAGGGGCCACAGTGTGTCATTTTGTCCAGCCTTCCTGTTCAAGCAGAGTCATCCTAGAGCACATTGCACAGGATTGTGTCCAGATGGTTCTTGAATATTTCCAAGGAGGAATACTCTACAAACTCTCTGGGCAATATGTTTCAGTGCTCAGTCACCTGCACAGTAAAGAAGTTTTTCCTCATGTTCAGGTGAAACTTCCTTTGCATCGGTGTCTGCCTGTTGCTTCTTGTCCTATTGCTTGGCACCACCAGGAAGAGCCTGGATCCATCCTCTTGATACCCTTCATTAGTATGCTTAAATACATTGATGAGATCCCCTCTCAGTTGTCTTTTCCTGGGACTGAATATGCCTAGCTCCCTCAGCGTTTCCTCGTATGAGGTGCCCCAGTCTCCTAATCGTCTTTGTAACCCTCCTCTGGACCTGCTCCAGAAACTCCATGTCTCTTGTACTGAGGAACACAGAACTGGACTCAGCACTCCTGGTTTGGCCTCACCAGGGCTGAATAGAGTGGCAGGATCACCTCCCTCAACCTGCTGTCAATGCTCTTCCTAATGCACCCCAGGATACCATTGACTTTCTTGGCCCTCAGGGCACACTGCTGGCTCCTGGGCAGCTTGTTGTTCACGAGGACCCCCAGGTCCTTCTCTATAGCACTGCTCTCCAGCAGGTCAGATCCCAGCCTCTACTGGTAAATAGGGTTATTCTTCCCCAGGTGCAGAACCCTGCCTTTGTCATTGTTGAATTTCAGACAGTTCTCTGCCCATCTCCAACCTGTCGAGGTACTTCTGAAGGGCTGCACAGCACTCTGGGGTATTGGCCACTTATCCCAGGTTTGTGTCACCAGTGAACTTGCTGAGGAGGTACTTTGTCCTTTCATCCAAGTCATTGATGAATGAATTAAACAATACTTGGCCCAGTATTGAACCTTGGGAGACACTACTACTGACAGGCCTCCAACTAGACCCTGTGACACTCATTACAACCCTCTGGGATCTGCTATTTGGACAGAACTGTCCATTTACTGGACATCAAAGCTACTTACGTGAGTCTGATGTAGCAGACAGGGTATGGCTTATGCACAATTGGCTCATGACCTGTCCATGCAACCTGGTCATCTTCAACTGTGCTCCAGTGATTTCCTCAGCCCACTGCTCATGTACTGAGGTTTTGCAATCCTGACATGCAGATGCTTTGCTCTTCCAGTCTTTCCAACCCCTAAAAGCTGAATTTACGTAACAATTCTGTATTTTCCTAAGAACACTTTCAACATACCTAGATTCATTTGGTTGAGATCAAAACAGTTGCCCTAGGCACCCTGACTTCATCCACATTCACATACAAGTAACTGTGAATGAGGACTTGTGCATGAGAAGCCTTGGTGTTCTTTGAGCATAATCTTAACTTGGGTCTCTGGTTTGCCTAAAGTAATTTTTTTAAAAAAAGTGATTTTTTTTCCTAAATTTTCTCTTTCCTGGAATTTCTGAATCTCCTGGGAAGTTTCTTAAACTGCTGAAAGAAGCAATTCCCAGTGCAACCCAAACTCATTTCAACTCCTCAGTGGTGCCAAAGAGCTGTGTTACATTATTTTTCCTGTTCTTCTCACTGGCTTTTGCACCTCTTATCCTTTCTCCTCTTTGACCCTAATGAGGCTTCCTCTCTGGCAGTGTGTGACAGGAGCTGTGCTGATCCTGGTACTTTGACCCTTTTCTTGTGGGATGCTTGTGTTATAGGAAACCGTTTCTCCATGTCTGACGTAAAGAGCTAAACAGGCCAAGTGCTTCAGATATTGTAGGCCACCACTTTCATATAAGGCTGTTGTCTTGGGAGATAAGACAACATAGGAGAGAAAATTGCATCCTCTCCAAAGGTCTTGCATCTACTGACTGCACTTACCTGTTCTTAGACTGGCTATTTAAATAAACACAAAATTGCATAATTGGATCTCTGTTAGGGTTATGGAGTGAGTAACAAAGTCATTCTTGGAGGGAGAGTGAGTGGGACAGAAATGTACTACATTTTTTACTTCTTGTGGCAGGACTAATGCTCTGTCCTCCTTTGCTTTCACTTTCCCCCCCCTTTGCATTTTCCATGCTCTTCTCTCAGTTTATTCTCTTTTTCTTTTCTTTTCTTTTTTTTCAGTAGCTAGTTGAGGCTCTGTTTCCTAGAAACAAGAAGGGAAACAAAACTAAGGAAATCCTCTGAGGATGACTAATATTAAAAAAGAAAAAAAATGGATTGTGAAATGTCTATCATTTAAATTTTAGACCAACTGCTAAGATAGCTTTAGTCAGCTTATCTGCTTTTGGGTTTGGTGTTGTGTTTACTGTTGTTTTTTAAGCCTTGTTAGGTTGGCATGACTGACTGATTTATTTTACTTTTCATTGTTCTTCTTTGCTTGGTTCTCAGTTGGTCATGATAGCTGGTTGGGAACCCGATCTTCAGGTGAGGCACTGGCCTGCCTGTGCTTTTTCTTCCATAGGAGCAGGAAAGTAGTACTTGTGCTTTCAGTGTTCCATGTCTTTTAAATACTATGCTGTTCTGTTCTGGTCAGCTTAAGCATCTCCCTAGCTCTGCTCATCAATTTTGATTCACTCTGATAGATTTCAGGGATTTTTAATGTTAGTGTTCCTTGCTGGGAAAAATGGTATTTGATATATGGCACGTGAGATGAGTTGATCAATCTCAACCTGCTTATTCTTTCCCCTTTCAACTCTCTAGCAGAGGTCTTCATGTACAGCAACTCTTGCAGACACGGGTTTAATATAGAGAATTCTCTCTGAGACATAGTGAAATGAGTTTCTTTGGCTTTCTCTCAGAAGTTACTGTAGCCATGACAGATACAGGTCCCTGGCTAGCTCTGTGTGTGCACATAGTATGTTTGTTGAACAAATGATTTGGATGCCCCCATATTCTGTCCCATTTCAGAATGAATCACCTTGTTCGTAGATAGGAGGAGAGGAATAATAAAAGAAGCTTTATGATCAAAGTTAAAATGAAGATACTGAGTCTTTTTTTCCTGCTGTGTTTTGCCACAAGATCTTGTTGAAGAGTTAGACTTGGTCTTGGTTCA